ATCTAATTCATTCAAAATTGATTCGCATATGAAGTATAATTATATAAATTTATGTCAAGTATTTTCATGACTTCTTTTGTTCGTTAGTTTTGTAATTTCTATTAATTAATTTCATATTTAAAAAGGGTAACGTTTTTTAACACATAAATTTGTAGATTTTGATTTCATTTATTGCCTGATATTTTCGTTATAGCAATAAGCATTTAGGCAGTCATTAATTACTGAAATAGACTACGATATGTGAGGTCTTTACAACTTATTGAATTATCAAAAATTTAGTTTGCTAGATGAATAGAAGTGTACCAGAAATTTGGTATTAATTAATAGTGGTATAAAACATTGATATATTCAGAAATATATGTATAGATTCAATCAAGTTCTGCAATAGAATTATGCAAGCATTTAGTCGAATCCATTTTTCTGAAAATAATTGTCTTGAGAGATTGATAGAAAGAAGAAAGAAAAGATGCAATTAATGTAAGGTTGGAAGTAGGGGTGATAATGGTAATAATTTATTTGTTCTCTTGAAATAAATTAGTATATGTAGTAAGCTAACAAATAGCTAACTCACTAACTAAGTAACATTATATTCTACAATGGAAATGGAAATGGAGATGGAGATGGAAATGGAAAATTATGAATTGAATATTTGGAATTTTTATGTTTGAATAAGTAAAGATAACATTATTATATCTATGAGCAAACTTTTTATCCTCAATGCATCTATTTATTTTCATATTAATTTTATTTTAATAAAAATTCCGTTTCGGAAATGACTTTCATTTAGTTTAATATAGAATATATTACTTTATTTTTAGTAGTATTATTTTTGCATATAGAGATTTTTATCGAATGCTTTATTCTTACTAACTGACAGTTTTTTCAATAATCTCTTTATTAGTACTTTTTTAAAATCATTTTTCCTATTATTACACAATGTCATCATTGCAAAAATTTTTGAACAAAAATTCTGCTTTACTTACAACTGAATTGAATTATTAGGTTTCTTGCAGTGAAAGATTATAAAAGATTCTTCAGATTTGAACAAATTCTGAAGCTATCAAAAGAGATATATATGTTTATTGTGGTTTCTGATTCATTACACTTAAATTTCACTCTTTTTTTTTGCTTTAGGCAAAAGAAAATACGAAAAATAAAAGTTTAGCTAATGGATTTTATATTCAGAATATATGGAAGGAGAAATTGTTGTCTACTTGTTTGTCACATGCACGGATATGCAAGGATATACATGCAGTCATGTTTAGGAATCATTCAGTTTGTCAAATTCCTGCCTTAAAAATTTTTTCGACATCGCCTTGTTAAGCTTTGTTTGAAAATGAATGTTCATGAGAGAAAAAAATTCGAAAAATATTGCAAATGAACACAAAAATAGCAACAATCTAATGTTTAACATCTAAAACTAATTTTAAAAGTGAAATCAAATTAATTATTGATTTAAAAAGAATTATTATGAAGGAATCTTTCACTTGTTTTTGTCTTGTATGAGTTTTTGCATGCTAGCAGAGGAATATGGTAGTTTTTTGATGGGATAAAAGAAATTGAGATGTTAGAATTTCATTCTGTCCTACCAATATTTATCCTAAAATTTAACTTTTTTGACTTTGAAAAATTTGATGGTGATAAGCGAAGTGATTAACAATTGAGCAATGATAAGATAGTGAATATTAACAAAGAGTAGACCAAAGATGTTAATTATTTTCATAAAATTTAAAAGTTATGATGAATTTCAGATCAATATTGGAGGGATAAGTTTCTTTCGTTTTAGGTGCAAGATTCAGAGAAATTTTGCTTGCAGTCTAAATTATCTAAATGTCAAATTAAAATGAGTAACGCTTAAAATAGCTGTTATAATTAGATAATATTTCTGTTCTTTCAGATTGATTTTTCATTTTTTCGAAAAAGTATTTGAAGAATATTGCAAAAAAAGTAAAAACTTGTGATCGTTTTGAATGTTTTCCTTTATAGATAGAAGACCCTTTTTTATAAATTTGATAAGATTATTTTTTTGAATTGTATTTTATTACAAATTCAGCTAATCGTTGTATGCAACTGTTTTATTAGTGTTTGACTACTTAGTTTTATTTTTGTAATTATTGTTTTTAAATTTGAAACGGTTGTTTTTTTAGTTTATATCTAAAAAGTGCAGTAGTTTGAATTTAAAAATAAAATAGATTAAATTTATATTAAAAAAAATTATCTATATTAATATTTTATGTATAGTTAGAATAATACAGTAAATTTGGATTGTTATTCTATGTGCACATAAGGTATTACTTGGATTATGTAGTGTTGATTATTTTTGAATTTATGGTGAAGTAAGTCAAATTTTTCATCGAATGAATGTATTTATAAGTTCTGAGCAGAATTTTTAGATAAAAATTATTGAAATTTTTTATTGTAGAAGGCAGATTTCGCAGAAGGAAAGACGAGGACGATGTATTAGTGAATGTGTTAAAGTAGCATAAATTTTCAGTGATATTAAAATTGTGCAGTATTTGGCTCGTTAAGTTAAAAAGTAAGACTGAGTAAGGCATTTATTGAAATTTTGCAGTGGTTAGTGGTTGGTTCAAAGTGTTCTTAGATTGGCCAAATTTTTCCTCGAAGATCTACTAAAAAGTTTATCAGATTAGTACTTTTGATATTTGATTTTTTATTTGCATGTATTTATTTTACTTGTTTTTATTTATTTATTTTTATAGCTATCATTTAGAATGTTCCGCTAAAAATTGAACTTAACTTTAAGTAATATTAGCGTGAACGCAACAAAGCTTCTTTATTAAATATTCATGTATTTTTAATGCTGAGAGTCATTTATTTATTGCAGTTGTTACAATATGACTTGTAAGATTTGATAATACTTAGTTGATTACAATTATCAGTTATGCTTAATCTCAAAATTATTTTTATTTCGATCCAAATACCAAATATTATAGTGTGGTAAGAAGAAAATTGGACATATGGAAGCTTTCTCTATCTTATTTTTGTATATACTGTCATTTTGCTAGTTGTTAAATGTAAGTATGAAAAAATCAAATCTACAAGGTTTATGACTACTGTTATCTAAACGAGTTAACTAAGGTTATTTTCAAGTCAACATTATTCCATTTTGTTGTTTATAATTATTATGATCAGCTTGAGATAAGAGTATTGTTTTTTTCATAACTTGTTAATCGTAACACCTTATAGATTGAAAATTTGCTATTTGAAGGAGTAATATTTATATTTGATCAAATATTTCTGAACTAACGATTGAAGTTTTTGATTGCCTAAAATAAAACTACTTCTTACTTCCAGTGAGTCAAGTTCTTGTCATTTGTTTAGTGCAAAAATGAAAGCAGAACATTTCTAGAATGAATTTTCAATTTTATTTACCAGTTGTTTAACTGTATTCGTAATAATGATTGCTTGGCATGGCAAGTATGTTAGTGCTTTATGAAAATTTTCAAAAAATATTAAATTTTTCGTATTGAGCTTGTTTACAAGTTTCTTTGTTTAAAAATGTCTTTGTGTGTTTTTAAGAGCTGTAAAGTTATTTCAAATTACTAGGCTCAACAATACTTACTTTGAAATGTTATCGATAATACTTTGTGAATTTTCAAAAAAGCCTTTGTTTACTTAACAACCGAAATAATTTGTATCTTCACTACATAGCATTTAAATATATTACATTTGATTTTAGTTTATTTTTGTTAAGTACAAATTTGCGTTTGCTGTAGTCGTTTACGTTTCGCGTATTTCATTTTTTGTTTTTTAAACTAAAAATTTTTTACATGATTTTTAGAGAAAAAGTGTTGTACATGCCTTAAAGAGATCTTGGCTTGTGTATTGTTGAAGTGAAGTAAGAATACGGAATCAAGTAACTGAGAATCGCTGGAATTATTACGTTGCACAAAACGGGACAAGAAGGTGAGTATGAAATTGATCTAGGTTTCATTTTTATTTCTATGATGAGACATTATAGTTTCGTGGCAACGTATTAAATTTGAATCGTACGTTAAACTGTATTCGAAATGTGATAAGTCACACAGTTTACATTGCTCTAATTATCGTTTTATAGCAGCTGTATATTATCTTTACATTTTCGATTTCTGATAATCAGAATTTTTTGTCATTAATTTTTCTTGGATTTATGCTAACATGGTGCAATTTATGAAGTGATAATAATCTAGTTACAATATTGATGGTATTGATAATTATTATGGTTATTAATATTATATCATAGACTCATTTTTACAAGTTAAACATCAAGCCACATATTATGACTCATTGATTAGCCAGTAGGAATTATTTAGTATGCAAAAAGTAGCTTTGATCGCAAAAAAATATAAATTTCATTTATGAAGAATTTGACGTACGTAGTCAATTTGTTATGAAATGGTGATTTATAAATACAATTGTTCTACGCTTTTAAAATATATTTAAAAAAAGTATGTTTGTCCTTTTTAAAAATATTTTTACAGGTTAGGATTAAAAATTGACGGAAGTTGTGAAAAGGACGATTTCACGAGAATAAAGCAAAAAAAAAAAATCCAGCTGGCGTAGAAAACTACAGAAATTTTCTAAATAGCTATTCCGTATTTCTTTTTTTGTTTACTTAGTATATTCAATTTATTCTACGCAATTGCAACACGCCGTTGGTTTTTTGCGGTGCAAGTGCCAGGTTAAGAAAAATTAGGCAAGCGTACGTCTAACGTCTTTGACGTACGCAAAATTAAAGTTCTTCATCATACGGGTTTCTTTATTCTTCTGCGTGAACACGAAGTGAAACGAGAAGAACGTCAAAGAATTATTTATTCATTTTTTCTCTCTATACTTAACTAATAAAACTGCGAGGAAAAAGTCTTAGCATATATATTTGTTATTCAAATTACTATTATTACTGCTGTTATTTGTGTTTTTGTGAAAGCCAACTGATTCAGCGTGATTTCGTTTGGAAATTGAGACGAAATTTGTAGACGAGAAAAGGAAAGAAGTTAATTATGCTAGGAAAATTAGTGAATAAATTCAAAAAGCATTCATTGCAAGAAGAAATAGCAAATATTATTTATCCATCTATTTCTACCAATAATAACAATAACAATAACTCAGCAAATAATGTAACAACAACAAGTAAAACAACAACAGCAACAACAGTGACGACATCATCTCTACCTCAGCAAACAGCATATCGTCGAAGTGCTCGTATTAGTGCCTTATATGGGGTGGGTGCATCTTGATTTATTAATTTTTTGAATTTATTGTACTAAATTTGATTTTCAATTTCAATAGCTGACTATTTAATCAGTCTAGCGAATGAAACAAAAATTAATTAGATTGAAAATTAGACCTTAAACGTTTTGAATACGTTTGTGTAGATTTTGTTTGTCATTAAAGTGCTAGCAAGTGGTTGATTGAAGTTCAAAAATGACTATATTTCAGGCTACTAATATGTTGGTTGATTCAGGCACGGAATCAGATGATGATGAATTGGAACAACTTGATTCTAGTTCGTTTTTTTTTTTATTTTTATAGATATGATATGTAGTGTAAAGTTAGTAAATAGCATACTTTGGAAAGTTATTATTATGCTTATAGATTCTTTTTAGTCTTGATAACATTTATTACTGGTAAAATTATGATCAAATAAGCAATAAAAAAAACAAACTTTTGCAAAATTAAATTAAATTTTCATCAAAAATCGGTCAGGAATCATTATAAGACCACCCAAGACTTACTTGTCTCTTTTTTTGCATATTTTCAATGCAATCAGTACTAACTTTAATTTTAGCAGTCTATCAATCACACTATTTATTGAAAAGATCACTGCTGATTTGTGATCATAATTACTTTTATTAGTTCATATCATCAATAAAAATATACAATAAATGGATAGATAATTGCTAAGTTAGAGTAAATATTACATATTTACTTTAACTTAGCAATTAATATAAACCAGCCATGCAATAACTTTAGAATTTAGTCATTTTGAAGGCTATTAACTGGAAGTATATTGAAGTGAGGATATTTTAATTCGAGTTAACTTTCGTTAATTGTTGTACATGAATGTGTAAAATGAATTTAAAAGGTATTAATATGGGTAGAATAGAACCATTTAACATAAATTTATCTATTTGGACATGAATGAATGTGGATTATTCTCGTACTGTTCCGAACAAATAATTTCATATTTTGATACTTATATTTAATGTGAATTATTATACGAAACTGTAGATTTATAGAACAATAATAGCGACACAAAATTACTAATTTTTAAAAAGAAAAATGAAACTTTTCATGAGATGTTATCATTTGTGCTAGGAAAGAGAAAGCTTAGCTTTTTTACTCGTAGTAAAGTACTGACGATGGCATTCATTAAATTTATTTAGTGATTGCATGGCTGGGTTATTGGATAAGGTTGAAGATGAACAAAAAGCCTATTTATTTATGCAAATTTCATTAGGCTTGTGATGTGATGCATTGCAAATGCATAATTATATTGTAAAATGCTATTGAATTTAAAAAAGTATATGCTTGAATTCCTTGAATAGTTTTATTTGTTAGTTTTGTTCGCAAATATATAAGCTTAGATATTTGATTTTATCATCAGTTTTCGTATCAAAATATTGCTGTAAAATCAGTTTACATTTTTGTGAACTTTTTTTCTAAAATATTTCTGGTATAAATTTTATTGCAATTATATCTTTGTTAGTATAAAAATACTTTATTAAATAGTTATTTAAGTTTTGTGCTTTTTAAGATTTCTTTTGACAGAAAGGCTTTAGTAAAGAATTATCTTAGGACTATAAATTTATACTTGTAAACTAGTATTTTGCCTCATTATGTTCGTAAATTAATAAGTACCTAAGCAGTAGTTAAGACAGATATTAGTTGAATTAGTAGCATTTAATAATGAGATATGGTTTAATTAAACTAATTTTAAAAACTTTGGCGAAATTTTTTGTAAAAAATGAAAATTATAAAGTAATAATTAAGATATGTTTGATGCATGAAATCTTTTATGTTAGTTTTTTTTTAATCTGGAATCTTTTTATACAAATTTGCATATTCGTATTCGTTGTCATTAGTGATGGCAACATCTGGTAAGAAACATAGATCAAATAAAATTTGCAAAGTATAAAAAACCTGTTTCTGATGAGTAACGAATTGATATTGTCATTGAAAACTGTAATATGCAAATTTTGCCTCTAAAAATCATAATTTTTTTGCGCATGAAATTATTTGAAGGTTTGAAGAGAGCACCTTCAAGGGATATAATGGGTAGCAGCCCACCAAATCTTACCAGTTCACCTCCTCTTGCAAGTGAATTTGATACAAACAGGTTTGTTGCAGTTTTACTTTTTCTGGATTCAACATTTTTTTTTTGACACTTGTAAGCTTATTTGGTGAACTAAATTTATTTTTCTTAGAAATTCAAATTTATATTAATTTTCAAAGTAATATTTTGTGATCTGTGTATTTTAGTTATTTACATTTTGAATTTCTTATCTGAATAAAATCTTTTTTAATACAATTTTCAGCATTTTCAGGGAACATATAGTTAAGAAATGTGTAAGTAAAAGTAGTTCTTTTCTCGAAACGTGTTAAATGATATAAAAGATCCTGTTGTGTAGCATTTTTATTAATAACCGTTTTTAATTTGATTTTTAAAGTAATTGAAAAGGTGAGCGAGCGAATTTGGTCATTTCACTTGTCTTGAAGAGATGGAAACTGATGTTAAATGAGTATCTTCTTCAAAAAATAGGATAGAACTTCTTAATTTTGGTTATTTCAATTTAAACTTTTTCCATTGGAAAATGCTCATTTATTTTTAATTCACTTGCGACTTATTTAGTTATTGTTTTTTTCTCTTTATAAGCAGAAAATGCTTTTAGAGTTATATAGTTTTTGAATGAATACAATTGCGATTTTGCTTTCTACAAAGCTGATTTATTTAGTAAAGTCATTGTTAAAATTGTAACTATAATATTGTTTCTATCTAGTCATATGCACAGTTTTTGAATTCAGTACAGGTTTTCAAATATTTAAATAAAATTTTTCAAATTTTAATTTTAATTATTTTCACGAAAAATTTCTTGCACATTATGAACAGAAATGATGTAGCAAAGAGAGACTTGACTTCTTTTCAAAATATTTTTTGAGACTGGCTTATCTTTCATATCTACAATAAATTATCTCCGTTTTTTTTGCGATATTTGTTTTGTTTTTTGCAACGTTTGCGTCTAAAAACTGCAATTTGAAAGTATTGGAATTGTAATATCAAAATTTTCATCATATCAAAAACAAATAAAATGAAAGTGGTGTGAATTGGTGTACAACAATATAGGTAGGAACTGCTGGAAACTAGTCCTGCAATAAATAAAAGTTGTCTGTAATTCAATTTTTTGAAAAATTTGAAACGGAAACAGTGGTATTTTTTTGTATTAAAATTGTCAAAAAAATTAATTTGAAATTGTGAATGAGGTAAATTATTACTCATTTATTTACAGAGCGATGATGATCTTTGAAATGTAATTCTTTGAAATAGCAAGAAGCATAATGCAAAATATGCAAATGCTGAGCTTCAAAACCTTCATTTATACACTTATTCCCGAGGTGATAGAAAGAGCAGATGTTTGAGCAGTTTATGTTTAAGATTGGATCAGTTAGAGTTAAGCATTTTTACTTAATCAAATGGTTTAAACAAACTATCCACGTATGAAAGCATTTTTCTTTACTTTGAAAGTAATGTTTATATTTGATTGCAAAATTGAAACAGTACTTGAAATTTTGATATAGATCAGTAAGTAGATAGAAATATGTTCTGACGACCTTATTCAGATCATGATATGGCAGCTTTTTGTGTATCTATAACTTATTATAAATTCTTACAATTTGAATCACATGTACTGTATGGATTTAGATTGTCTTGAATCTAAAAGTATATATGCTTATACTTGTATGATTTAAAATAATATTTGTTAGCATTTGGTTGGAAGAAATATAGAACATTTAATGATGGGCTTTGTTATTTATTATTATGAAGGAATTAATAATCTGAATAATTTAATTCATTCACTCTTTGTATTTTGTAAAAGTCAGTTATAATGATTCAGGAAAAGATTAATGAAGGACTCAAGTTCATTCAGTAAAATTTGTCCTTCTTTTCTAGATTTATAGTAAATATTGATCATTCATAATTTACTCTTTTTTATATTCAATTATAACTTTTTGTTTGTTTTTATGAGCTTTTCGATCAAAAAATGTAAAATTAAGTTTAATACTTTTTAATCTATCAGTCAAAAATTTGGCAAAGAAATTTGTGGTTTTAGAAAAAGATAGTGAGAAGAGATGCACGCAAGATATAGAAATGGTAAAAAGTGAACGATGACTGAAGAGAATGATAGAGGATGATAGTCGTAGATAGAGTGTTGATTCAGTTATAGTGATGAAAAAATAAGGCAGAGAACATTGGGAGGTTATGCCTTCGGTAATTACTAATTTGCATATTTTAATTTTAATCATCAAGAAAGCTTTATAGTATGTTTGCAAACATACATATATATCACATTGGCATGAATTTGTTACTCAAATTTACAATTTCGTATTCGTCAGTTTGAATTCTACTGAGGTATAGATATGAATTTGATGTGAAAGAAGTGAAAGACATGTCAATTAATATCGCAAGTAATTGCTGTTTTTTTGAATTATTTGACTTCGTACCTTTTAGTACTCTGAAAAGATCAATAATGGAAGTATAATAATATTACGTTATTCTTTAGTTATTCGCTTTAGTAAAGTTGGGAATCGTAATAATGATAACATGTATTTATTATTTTTTGTTTTTTTTGCTCTAGCATATACTTTGTTACACTTATTATGATAATAATAATTACTATTGTTGTTGCAATTATGATTACTATAATTATTATCACTATTATTATTGGTAATGATTACAACGCTTAAGGTTTTTGGAAAAAATTATGAAAAGTTAGCCAGGCAATTAATTACAATTTTTGGTGCTCGAATGAAATGACAGAGGTTTCACTTTACCTAAATGAACAATTTTTATGATGTGAAGTGGGATGAAGTAAAGTGAATTGAAATAAAAAAGCAATTTTTGTCAAGAAAAGTAAAGCTAAGAAGAAATTCGTTTTGAAAAGCCCAGGATGGCAGTGCAAAAATCTTGCATAATTATGCAATGTTGCTGATTCTAACATGAATTTTTCATCTGCCGTTTTCTTCAAATGTTAGTTAGTCTATGCAACTGAAACAGAAATATTTATTACTGCAAAAAATCACAAGTGATAAAAATCCATAAGTTTGACCATCTGGTCACTTTACTACCTTGATTTTTTATTTTCAGATTTGACCACTTCCATTTTTTATTTCTATCATTTTTTTTCATTGCATTTTCACTATAAATTAGTGTAAAACGAGGAGTGTATTTATGTATGGTTGTATGGATACTTTATTGTGGTACTAAAAGTCACATAGTAATGGTGGAAAGTAATTAATAATGAAACTCTTACTATCAGCAATATTTATAAAAAGTTTGCTATAATTTATTAGTATGGTTTGGTTCGCAGTTGCTCTGTTCTATAGTTTACGGAAAGCTATTTTATTCCACGAAACTTAAGAGTGTAAATCAGAAAGATTACATTATTATAAGCGGAAAGACTTAACAAGTTTCCTAAGCTTGACTTCAGAAACATCAGTTTTAATGGTTTGATGCTGCAAGAATGTTTCCGTTATGTATGCGGTATTGAAAAAATGACAACTGCTAGGTTAAAGAAGTGCAAAATTTTTAGAAATCTTATCTCGGTACTAATATTGAATCTCCCAAACAAATGTCTTCAAACGGAATCGTTTTAATAAAAGCCTATGGAGATATTTATTGCAATATGTTTATTGTAATGACTTAAAATCTTCTTTTTAAATAGCGTATTAAAAAATGTGAATTGTTTTGTGAATGTGTGTGCGTTTTTCATTAGTTATTATGGATTATCTTGATTTTGTAAATGATAAGTATTGCAACTGGTAAGTAATTGATAAGTTTGTGTCAGTTTTTTTTTTTAAATCAAAATTCCTTTTGAAAACAAAATCAGTGCTTTTTATTAGTTCGGTAACTGTACTTCAAAATATGATAGAGATACTGAAGTGAATGATTATCATATTTAAGGATTTTTATACTTTCTACCTACAGTTATTACAGAAGGATAGTAAATTATGTTCGATACACTCAGTTCAAACAAATTATTTCATAAATTTTACATTTAGTGCTGAACAATTATGGTTAACTGTTTGCAGTGTGATTCGACACTTTTGTATTCAGCTCAAATAGACACTGCTTTGTTGATCATAAAATTGAATAAGCAAACATTTGTGCTAATATTAAATTACTTTAGATCATTAAAAGTAAAGGTTGCTGCTGAAATTGATCGATGCATTGATGATCGTAATTGTGATGGAATGCAAGTAAGTAAGTAAGTAAGTAAGTAGTGTTGTTGACAGATGGCTAAGGAAAGTATAGATTTAGGCTTAAGAGGGAAATTTTTTGTCTCCTTTTAGATTGAAAAGACATCAGTTTTTTGCTTCACTAATTTTTTGGATAAAAAAATTAAAGAAACTTTTCCGCTTGATTATAACGCTCTTGTTATCTTAGTAAATTTCTGCACGCAATTCTATTTTTTAAATTTATACATATAAGTTTAGAACACTACTAGAACAAAAAATACATCTATAATAGTCATTGATTTCAGATGAATAAGATAATAATTTAAATTAGTATGAATTGCATTTAGTTATGATATTGTAATGTAGATTTTCGATTAATAATCTACTTTGTACTGGTTATCGTTTATCAACTTTTATTTGGCATGATAGAAGTTATTTGGGATAAAAAAGAATCATTGGGTGGAAACTCTAAGATGCATCATTGTTATTCTTTGTGGATTAGTGAGTTCATTTTATTTTGAAAACGTTGTTGTTTAGAGGATTTTATTCATTTTGCTGTTGATTGTATTAGGTTATATTGCATTTAGTATATAATTAGAGTGTAGTAATTTGTAGATTAATAAGTATTGTTTGATGATAAAGCAAAAAATAGATGTAACGTAACGAAGAAGTAATGAAAGAATGAGAGCAGTAGCTTAGTAATGCTTGTATGGATTCAAGCTTTAAAGAACTAATTAGAATAGTTTATGACCAAAGATGTATAAGTTATGCGTTAAAGGATGCTAATCTGAACTAGTCTAAGCCAAGTTAAGGTAAGGGAAAGTTAAGCATTGATTGCTGAGACTGAGACCGACTGCAGAAGTTAAAGTTAATTCAATAAATGTATTGCTACTCTCGGTACTGCTGAGCTTTTGCTGAAAAAGACGTAAAT